TCTTGATGATACTATCTGACAGAAACAGCTTAAAGGAAGGAGTATTTATTTGGGCTCAGGGTTTCAGATAGTTTTTGGTCCATCATGGTGGGGGGAAGGTATAGTGGAATGTACAGTACATCTCATGGCGGCAGATACAAATTGAAGAAGCTGTTTACACCAGAGCATGGCAGGAACCAGGAACCAGGAATCACCTGCACAGGTCCATATCTAGGTATCTATTTCTATCACCTGGGCCTCAGCTGTTATAGGCTCCACCCCTCCACCCAAAGCACCATCAGCCAGGCAATAAGCATTCAAGACATAAAACTGTCAGGGGTGTTTCATATTCAAACAATGGCAGTTATTGTTATAAGAAAGGTTAGCACTGGGCAGTATGGGGAGACCAGAGATGGACTCTAAGGGTGCTGTGCCAGGAGAAGGCCAACGTAAACCTGAGCCCAAACAAACAAACAAACAAACAAACCCTGCCTCACCCTACATCAGGATAACACTCACAGAACAGTCCTGAGATGGACAGAGCATTCTCCAAAGGGTCTAGGAAAATAATGTTTCCTTTGGTGGAGGGCTACTGTATTTTAAAATAATGAGTGGACCATACTGTCACAAAACAGAATTAGGGCTCGTACTCTGCATTAGGCACAAATAAATCTCTGAAACATAACAGGAAATATTTGTGATAGGCAGGGAGTAGACCCTACACACAAAAGCAGGTCTCTCTGGGTCCCCTCCCCCACCGAGTGACAATCACGGTACCCATGTTAAACATCATCAAAGTGAAGTAACTTGCCACAGCACTGCGACAATGCTTGAAATAATGGCACAGCCTCTGTTGAATGGATGTCAGCATTCATGATTTTAAATAATAGCTCATAAGATCCCAGAAGGAATCTCAGAACTATTTCCTGCTTTCCTTGCTAGTCCAACTTAGAAATTTTAGTCCTTTTTTTTGTTGTTCTCCAAATACGTCTGCCACTGGGGGAATAGAAATGACCACACAGAGCAGAAAATTCAAAATAACAGTGCTGAACCATGATTGTGATGTTTCTCATATAAAATGTCTAGAGGCAAGCAGGTTGGGCTGCTACACTGGGAGCAGACCTCAGTCTTTCTCCCACACCATTCTATGAGACGGCTTCCACTCCTCTGTCCCAGAAGCAGAGGAATTTTGTAAGCTGTGACCTCAGGGTCCCCTAACCTGGGAACTCCTTTCTTGCTGGATTCCCCGGAGGAAAGTCCCCACCCCATGGAACAGGCAGGCATTCAGAGTGATGACGAGGGTCAGGGAGGCTGCAGACTAGGATGTGGATGGAAGGAGAGTGAAGCTGTGGAGAGAAGCGTATGCATCAGGGATAACACGAGGGAGCCACTCGCTGACACCCGAGGGTGGGAATCGTCCATGGCTCTGGGCTTACGTTGATGGGAAATGACAAACAGCAGCAGCTCACTGCCTCTCTCCTTCTCTCAGAGCAGAACCATTCGAGTGCTAGATGTTCTAGAATTTTCAGATCAATAGGGCAGTATCATAGTTTTAAGAAAATGCACCACGGTTCCATGAATGGTAACACACCTTGCTGCTGCACTTGTAGCCCTTTGTGTGCTCACGTGCACACATACACTCCTAAAGACAGTGGGGTTGGGGTGGATACTGTGTTATTCTATGCTCTCTTGACTCGGTTTTATAAAATGGACATTTTCTGTATTGATGAATGGAAGTCTGCTTTAGACTGCTGGTACTCACGACCAGTTAACACAAGCCAGATTTACTCAATTTACTGTTGAGTGTTTCTGGCTTTTCATGAGTTAATCCTGAAGTGAATGTCTACAGAGTTAAGTCTCTAAACACTTCTGTAATTATTTATTTGGTGTAAATAAGTAGAGTCCTAGAAATGTAGATACCTTGAAGACATGGCTAATATGGAGGTATCCCCAGCAGCGTAGAAGGGAGGGTCTCTGGGTGGTCAGGTTAGATCCCCAGAGCAGCCATGTTGTATCCAGTGGGTTTATAACTGCTTCATCGCTTTGTGCTTCACTCTGTTGTGGCAGTGGCGTCTGCAGACTTGTAACACGTGGTAAGAAATGGAGAAGTAATGAGATGACAAAGGAGAGGTGCAGTCACCATGTGACACCCCCCCCCCCCGCCCAGCATGTGACACAATAGTACTGGCCCTTCAGTCAAATGGCATGAGGGAACCATATTCATATCAGAACTAACCAGGCAAAGTGTAATGGAGAGAGACAGAGACTGAGGTACTGAGTGAGCTATGCATGTGTTAGAAACCTGTCACTCCAGGGGAGAAAAGCCTGACTGGATTCCTGCTGGACCCAGATTCCAGGAAGATCATCACAAGCATCCTTCTGGCCCACACTGGCACAGATCCCTACAAAACTGGCTGCACCAAATCATCTTAAAGCTTCCCGCCTGCCTTTCATGGCCTTTCTGACATAAGAAGTCTTTTCTGAAGACCTCCATACCTTTCGCTGGACTGTCATGAGATGC